CAGGACAGGGTTAAAGTTTATGCAAAATAACAAATGTATAGAAAAAAGTCACTGGAAATAATATGAGTGAATAAAAACTGAGGGGAAATTCTCACTAGAATTTCTTATAAGAGACACTAAACACAAATATTCCTATGTCTATGTAAGAATTTCTCCAAAATATTTCTCAAAAATACTATATACTAGCGAAAAAGAAGAATTTCACGCTAAGTTCATAATAATGAGAAATAAAAGACAGTACCTTTCCTGCTCCAGTAGATCCAGTAATAGCCAACATCTGTCCTTTCTCTATCTTGAAGTTGATGTTTTTCAACACAGGAGTACCCAAAAGGGATAAGTGACTTAAGACAAGGCTGTTATCAACATCGGATATCTTTCTGTTGTCACTGTTTAGTTTTACTTTCTCCAATAATTCACCAAATCCCTATTAAGACACATTAAAAGTGAAAAGGTCTTCAGGTATTTTCAATGGATATTTTTTATGTGCAAGTAATTTCAGAAACATATGGTACAGGATCCACAGAAAGCATGATTCAAAATAGTTGACAATTATATATATTTAATGAGAATATAATTGCCCTTTCTCAAAATTTTGCCTATTACAAAATTAATATAAATTTAATTAAAGGCTAAATTGTGGGGGTGGGGTGCACACACAAGCATTCTGATACCCTTTTTTCTATAGGTTGGGTGCATAAATATTATGTAATCTTGAGCATAATAAATATGACAGGTATCATAATCTTCCTCTTTTAAAATTGTGGACTTGTCTCAGAATGGATAAATAACCAGTCATATACAAGTAGATCAGAGTGGAAATAAAATCCAATCTGGTTTCTGTTCGATCACATCATCTTCTGAGAAACTCAGAAAATTGAAGTAATTATTGTTGATATAAGCTGACTAGACCCCAGTGGATGAATTTGTACTGAGGGATATCTGAGGGCACTAACCTGACAGGATAGGTGCCAATGGGGAAGGCCATATAAAGATGATTATAATGTTCTGTATGAGATACACAAAAATTCAATAAAAAATTTACCAAAAAATAAAGAAAAACACCCCTCCCAGAAAATTTAAAAAGAAACCTCTACATGAAAAAAAAAGTTGATCAAAAGAAAGTTGGTATGCCTAGTTTAAGAGAATCTATGTTTTAGATCCTCAACAGCCAAAGGAACTCTCCTAAAATTAACCTGCCTGGGAACTTGTTTTCTCCTTCCTCTGATCTACTTCCACCTCACTACACAGATGCAGCTGCCTTCTTGTCTACTGTGCAAGTGAGGACTCATCTCACCAGTGCACTCTCTAGAGTGTAAAAATCTGAGACCCAAACAAGGCATCAAATGGATGATTTTCTCCTGAAACAGAGTCCCATAAAAACAAAGTCAGAAACACTGATGGAGGTTGTATTTTATTTCACCCGATTTCAAATCTAGGGCAATGCAATGTGTCCTATCTATCTTAAAAATTCAGAAATGGACTGGGAGATAATGTATTTTAAACACCTGTTTGATGAATTATAATAATTATTAGTATAGACCAATCAACTGTATTAAAAAGTAAAAGTCAATTTTATCTAATGAATAACAATCATAGGTAGCCACTGACTTGACAGTGAGCATTGCCTTCATAATATCATTTACTTTCTATAATTGAATGTACTGAAAGTATAGCTCTAATATTTTGACCAAAATGTTTCTGATACATTTAGATAATATACCATATACAGGAAATCACATCCTTTGTCACCACCATTTACATCTATTTTGAAAGACATATGTTAACTTGAAATATATCAGAGGTACATAGTTTTTTAAAATTCTTTTAGGGTATAAAAAGTAGCCAGTTTCTTGACTAAAAGTCAAAAAGTCCTTGGGCCTCTTAGCAACATACTCTATTCCAAAGGCCAAAAATGTCAAAGGTATTTGGAAGCTTGTATCTAATCCTTAAAAGATTTTAGGGTTGCCTCTTCATAAGGGGGAATGTTAAGAGTAGCCAAAGCCCCATAAAAATAAATAAATAAAAGAAGAAGAAAGAGTACATGAAGTTATCAGAAAAAAAAGTGATGAGGAGATATGGGAGGAGTTGGAGGGGAGGGAGTAGGCATGGATTTGATCAAAACACCTTATATGCGTGTATGAAATTCTCAATAAATTATTTATTTTAAAAAAAAAAAACATGTTTGGAGACTACTGCTTCAAGTTCTTTGTGTGAATAACTAATATGCTCACAGTCAAAACAACTAAAAGCAGACTTTTAAGACAATAAAATCTTAAAAAAAACAAGACCCAGGCATCTGCTATTCCTTTATTTAGCTAATCTTTACTGAACATTACTTCCAAATAACAGACCGCTTCAAATATAGAGCATTGGGAGAGGGGTGGGGAGGTGTGGCTGGATCTAGGAGGAGTTAGGGGGAGGAGAGGGGGTGAATGTGATCAAAAGATATTGTGAGCCTTATGAAATTTTCAAAGAATTAAGAAAAGTATATTTTTTTAAGTTAATGAAAGAAAGAGGGAGTGATCTGGAACACCTAATTAGAATATATACAGATCATTAAAATCCAACGTTGGTAAATGACCTGTGAATACATACTAAACTACAATGTGTATTGGTCTACAATTTAAACTAACAAGTCCTAGGAAGCACATTTGAGCAGAGTATCTGACTTATTATTTACCAATTAATTACATACATACTAGCTCTGAAGGACTGAGGTAGGATTTCAAAAGACCAAGCAATAGTTACAGGTGATCTAGGAAGACTGAGCTGCATACGCACACCGATTTGGACTTGAAAGAATAAAATGCCCCAGGAATGATGAGTGGCTGGGTGAGGTGTATGTGCCAAGCTGACAAAGGGTTGAGTGGTTATGCTTAAAAGGAGGACTTTGTAAAGCAGTAGAGCCTTGGACCAATAGAATTTTTTTTGCTACCAGTAACTTAAAAAAAAAAATGATTTACTTTTATTTTACCAGTATGAGTGTTTTGCCTGCATGTATGTAAGTGCACCATATGCATGCACTCACTGCCTGTAGAGGTCAGAAGAGAGCATCAGAGTCCCTAGAACTGGACTTATGGATGGTTGTTAGCAGTCATGTGGATGCTGGAAATCGAACCCAGGTCCTCTGCAAGAGCACCCAGTGCTCTTAATGACTGAGCCAGTTTTTTTTCACTTAAAGAAGAGTTTATTTGGCTCATGGATTCAGAGGGTTAGAGTCCATCATGGCAGGAGGCAGCTGGTGCAGAAAGCTGAGAACGCACACCTTCAAGCATGCATGGGAAA